CAGGGGATCTCGTAGTCGAGCAGTCTCGACTAGAGCTTTCTTACTTGTTTTTTGTTTACTTTGTCTCATTTGTGCGCTATGGTTTTTTAATTGCCTTGATTAGCATACGAATTTTTCCAGTAGAAGTTGCGCACAATTAAAATTCAATCGCATTTGCTTAGCGTCCATAAAGTCAACAACTAATTCGTAAACAACTTCCGCGAGCTCTGCGGTGCTGCAACTTCTTTTAGCTCGAGTAAATTGTTTCTCTAGCTGATAGTTTGTTATCGTTGTCCTGATTGCCTGCAGGATGTTGTTGCCCGCACAAGTTCTGAGTTTTATTGCCATTGCTTCAAAGCTGGGGATTCGTACATGAAAACTTGTTGGGCCCCCCACACACAGTATGACTGAGGGGAAGTTGGAAAAGCTTAAAGTTGAAACTCTACTCGAGTTATGTCCGTTAAAAAAGTGCACTTCCAACTAGTTGCTCAAGTATAATTATTGGCGAAAGTCGAATCAAGCATCGACAAAGTCAATGGCAATAGAGAGATTTTCAGATCATTTAAGTGAATTTAGAACTAACATTCAACAATTTTTTGAATCCAACACTAAGGACATCAGCTTAATTTAGTTTACGTAATTAAATGAATTTATCAGCTATGCACATCAATCGTACTTCTTCTATTCTTACATCTTTTTATAGAAACTTGATAATCTGAATTAATTTTACTTTTAATGATTCAAATTTTCAATTTAATGTCGTGTAATCATCATGAGATGATCAAGTTTCTATGTTTATTTGCTATAGTACAAATAATTCTTGTTTGCTAAATTTGCGGTTTTCATGCTAAATTTAGTATTTTGGTACGGGGTACTCTTTATATAACTCTCATAATTATATTGTTTTTAGAGTTATACATGCTCAAATTATAATAAAGCAACAAAATACTTACAAATATAAGGCTCATAAATTTCCATAAATAAAAAATTATTTTTTGATAAAATATCCAAATTTTGAAAATGACAATCCAAGCTTCAAAATAATTAACAGAAATAACTATCTGCAAATAGTTTTTTAAATTTATCTTTAAGATATTATAAGAATTACTTGTAAGGTATTAAAGTTAATGAATTTTTTTATTTTTTTTATTTCATTTTATAATTTTATAAAATATAGATTTTATTTTGAATATCTCATTATTAGAGGGTTATTCATTCCAACTTTATAAATATATGATTAGGTTACATTTACCCACGCATTGAAATAATTTATTAGTTTACATGCTCAGACGACCGACTCTAGCATTAAGAATGTAGCAATTTATTACTTATTTTCGATAATGTTTTAATCGATAACTAAATAACGGACAAGTTGTCGATTTTCTGAAAAAGACTCAAGATATGCGCGTAATATACACGGACATAGGTAAACAACTTACAAAACTATTATACCATTTTCAGTACTTGGACATCTACTGCGCGCGGGAGTTTTTTTTTTTTCTTTTTTTTTTTTTGTCGCTAATCTCTAATTTTTGTAATTATCTGCCTAATAATACTAGTGCGACTAGTAATTTCACTTACACTAACGCAACAGCAGCTACTGCAGGAATCTGCTGTGTGAGTCCTAGCGGGTGCACGGCTAACCTTGGAACTGGCTCTATCCAACGCTCCGCTGATAATGTCGATCTAACATGCAACGATTCTGCTAAAATTAACCATCCAGTACTGAGTGGAGCTGTTGACTGGTGAAACTGGTGACTGCCCAAATAAACTTAACAAATAAAAGGAAGACCTTCTTTTTCTCCCTATAATAACCTTCAGAGGTCGAACAAAAACTTAAAACTATACTCGACTTCAATAACAACCAATAAACTCTAGAAATAGATTTGGCAGCTAGACGTGAACATTAATGCAGCCAGTGAAATAATAGCTCTTCTGACGCTGTCCCTCAGAATACTCTCAATATGAATCCTAACGACACGGACAACAACCCACAGCATAATACTTCTAACGCTATCAAGCTTAGTTCACCAACGCCACCGCAAATAGTGGTTAGTATTACCGACCTTAATGATCTCCTTGAACTCATCAAGGAAATAACTAGCCTAGATAACGTGCCCATCAATTTCAATCAAGCTGAAACAGCCCGAAAACTTCCCAAAGACAGTGATACATATAGAGCCATTGTAAACCATTTTGATGCTATTGCGATTGAGTTTCACACCTATCAACTAAAGGGAGATAAACCCTGCAGAATAGTTGTTAAGGGGCTAAACCACAGAACGTTGAACAAACAAATTTTTAAAAATTAAAAAAAAAAAAAAAAAAAAAAAAACGGAAAGGACAATAGTATAGTCTGCACAACTTGAAATCCCCTTAACTCGGTATGGGGTCGGCTCTATTATTAATTTACCTTCATTGTGCTGTTTTGGTTCTATTTTTGATGTACCGGTTCTTCACTTAATAAATAAATATATATATAATATATATTATTCCTTTTAATTTTTTCAAATATATATTCATATATATTCATTTATTTGTATGAATTATTAAACGATAATTATGCGTTGTTAAGTCACTTTCTGAAAGCTTTTACAGTCCACTAGAAGTCACATTAAGCACGCACGAATGATTCACCTTCCCGAGCTCTGCAGGAGCTCTTACCATATCATTACAGCTAATGTGCTACAAGTGACAAAATTGTTTAGGCTTAACAAATTAAGACAATTAGACCTTAATTAGCTCTTTCGAAGACTGCCGACGCGTCGATGACCTGCTCGAGACTATAAAAGTGGCAGCACTGAGCTGTCAACAAGTGCAGACAAAACGAAATGGTCAACATAGTCAAACATCCTCCGAGCAGGAGTGCAAGGAATCCACTACTCCAATGCTGGAAGAGCCACCCACTGAAACTAGCCATTACGAACACCTTCTGGGAGTACACGGAGCGCACCAAGGTGAGCGGCATGTGGCTTCTGCGGCGCAATCGCACGCACGGGTTGTCCAGGTGAGTGAGCTATGCGTAATCGACCCTTTGTCAAAATATCTTTATTTGCTAACAACAACGGCAGACCTCATCAAACTAAGATCGATTGTAATACTAACCTCAATAAGTCTTTACGGCTGACCATATCCGGATCCCCAATTCATATCAGAATAAAACGAGACTTAATAATTAGTAATAAAATCAATTTGAAATTTTCCTAGTCGCGACTCTCTGAAAACTTGTTTCTCTCAGAATTTAATCAGAATTCAGAATCTGTTTGTCTGTTTGGACCTAAGTACATTTACATATATTGCAGATTAATTTGGGCTTCGGTGCTGGTTCAGCTGCTGGGTCTCAGCATCTATTTGACTATGCTGCTCTGGCTGAAGTTCTACTCATATCCTATTCTAAACACCATTTCAAATGAGCTGTCTATTACGGATGTGGCCTTTCCCGGCGTAACCATATGTAGTCCCAAGACGGTAAACACGGAGCGAGTGCAACGCTACGTCCGAACGCTGTGAGATGCAATGGAGAATCTCATGAAGGATCCTATTGATACTCTCTTTAACTCTTTCAGCCAGATACCTTCGGATTACGATGTAGCCGAAGTAGCAGCTGGCTTTGAGTTTCTCAATGCCTTCACGGATCAGAGCTTTGTTCCCCCAGCGCATGAGAGCTACAAGGCAACGGATGCTGTGCTGCGACTAAACAACGTGTCCATATGGGAGGCTGCCATGGCTGTCAGTCCGGGCTGTGCGGATTTTGTAAAACGCTGCTTTTGGGGCGTTGGGGAGTTTCCGTGTAATCAGAGCCATGAATACTTGTCCTTTATACCGACTACTGCATTCCTTGGTCCGTGCTGCTCTTTCAACTACAATCCGCGGAATTCCAGCTTTCTGCCCTTCTCAGCCAACATCTTTGGCATGGATGGGGGCCTCACTTTTATTGGCGCTGAAGGCTCTGAACGAAACCTAAACACCGGCCTCATTGTACTTGTCCATCATCCGATGGACTATGTAACGGAGAAAGCCGCATCGGTAACTATAACTGCAAGGTCCGAGAGCTTTGTCGAAGTCTCGCCCACCGTACAGACTTCCTCGACAGAGGTGCTTGAGCTGTCTGAGCGCAAACGAGATTGCCTCACCTCGGATGATGTGCAGCTACGCAACTATCGCCAGGCAGCCTGCTTGCTCGCCTGCCAGACAGAGGCGATTGGCAAACGCTGTGGCTGTCATCCTTACCTCCTGCCCACCGTAAGCAAGAAGTTTAAGGAATGCAGTCTGAACGATACCTTCTGCTACGCATATAACTATGGTAAATAGAGAATACCTACGCCGTACACTTAACTGCGACTTATCCCAAACCTAGACAAGTTTCCCACCTTTACACTCTTTCCTCATTCGACTTACCTGTTCCCATCTCTCGCGGCGCTTGAGTTATTTACCTACACAGACACGTGTGATGCATTGTGGTCACCATATCGCCTTCCTCTGTTTCTCTCTCTCTCTCTCTCCATCTATCACTGATTGCTCCAGTTACATCATATATAATTTAAATTAAATATTCAAAATACGTGCCTGTCTGCCAGCTTATGTAAGTGTACACGCAAGTTGCTCCATAACAGGTCCTTAAAGACGCTTCGGTATGCAAAACCCATAACAATTCCACAGAGCATATTATATGTATATGTCGGTAGCATAAATAGCGTGATTCGGCAAGTGTCTGCTGAAATTCTTCCTATTAACTCGCATACTCATACACACATACATATGTCTATGTGAGCATGTGAGTATTTGTTTGAGTTACCGTATTAGAGTGTTACTCCTCCTTTGATGCCATATCTACAAAGTTAAACTTTAATTAAAGCAAATAAAGAATGCGCGAAATGGGGACTTTTCCTATAAATAGTTTTCGAATGCTTCTTTCGTATCCTCTAGACTTTATCCTCATAGGCAAACTTTACGATATACCTACTAACTTTCTACACAGTAATACATATACAGATAAGATCTAATTTACAGACAATTTCAAGAGTGTTCGTTGTGATCAATGCCTCCCCAATTGCTATGACGTCACATACTCAACGCTGTCCTATAAAACGGATCTCAATCTGCATTCATTCTCCGTCAGTGGCTTTTAGTAAGTATGCAATATAATTGTAGTTCGCAACGTAGTGAACTTAATAATAGCTTACTTAGCAAGCAGGAGACGCTGAACAACGACAGCTTCATGCTACGAGTGTATTTGGCTAAGCAGGTGGTCCCAGTGATACGCAAGGTGACCGTCATGTCCTGGGTTGGACTGCTATGTAAGTGCTTATGAATGTTTCAATTTCAGATAAATATTTTTCTATGTATCCAACGATTGCAGCTGACTTGGGAGGCATTTTCAATTTGTGCTTGGGCTTGAGCATGATTTCCATCGTGGAGTTCTTCTACTACTGCACTTATCGCTTGTATGTTAATTATCAACAGCAGAAGCAGCTTCTGGTGAAACATGCTTGGAATTAGTCTCGATTTAACAGATATTATTATATATTTCAATACATTTATATATCTTTGATCTATAACTTAATTGTAAAAGAGGTTGTAATATCGCGAATCATTTTTTCTTTTTTGACTTTTGTGACTGCGTGGTTGCTTTTCGTTTTTGAGCAACTGTCATTTGCTGCTCATTCGCTTCATCATCGCTGTCCCTGTGGGATAACACATTTATGAATATACTTTACGTATACCTGATTTATTTTTGTCATATTCAAACTCACCCAACGGTGGCCATTTGCTCAAACATGTCCTCGTACTCCGCGTCCAGCGGCGTTGCCTTAGGCTCTCGTTTATTTCGTATGCTTTCTTGCGTTTGCACTTCAGGCTCCGCTTCGTTGTCATCCTCGCTGAGCTGCCGCTGTTGTGACAGTTGGTTAATGAGCACCTTCGTCGCCTTCGACTTGACGTAGCACTGATAGAGCAGTACAGTGGAATCAGCATCGTGCACGCGTACATAGCGATCCAGAGAAGCGGAGCTCAGATATTTGCCCGTCTCATCCAAGTAAAGGTCGCTGATGCCGCCCGTAAAGCCTTTATAAGTGTGCACATGAGTTTTCATGCGGCGCGTGTCAAAGGCCTAACAAGGAATCTTAATGAAGTACGTAAATACACATATGCACAATTTAGTACTTACCTTTAAGACTCCCATTGTAGTGCCTGTATAAATATAGTGACCATTTGCTACGAGCGACGCAAAGCTCATGCCATGCTCCTCGCTGGCAAAGTGTGCCACAGGACGACGTTGCTTGCGTGTGTCGTACAGCCTCACGTAGCCATGGCGAGAGCAGGTGGCCAAGACGCTTGGCCCATCCACAAAGCCTATATCGCTATCCCACACGGGCACCTCTAGCTGCAGATAATCGTTGGGCAAATTCTTGGAGCTGAAGATTTGCTTGCCATCGGCACTCAGATCGTAGATTTTCAAGTTATTCTGTCGAGCTTTGCCGCCGGTGGCCACAATCTGCCTAGCAGTAGAGCACTGACGCAAGTGGTCCATATGATCTCCAGTGGTTATAAGAACTGGTTCCGCCGCAGATTCCTCCTCCTCATCATCAACAGCATCCAGCGACGTGGTCTGTATTTTTCCATTGCTAAAGCCAGCAATCAACTTATTGTTATAGCGAGCTAGACCTACAATTGGGGCGCCGGCTACATTGATGTGGCGTGTTCTTGAGGCACCGCTTGCTCCCAGTGAATGCACCTCAACCACATTCTTCGCGCGACCGAGCAGTATTTCCGTTTGCGCCTCATTGCCAAATGCCAACGCAGTCACTCGGGATTCTTTATCTAGAGCCGCCACATCAGTAAGGTTTGATTGTGAATATGGATTCTTTTCCAGAGCGGGCACCAAGTCTGTAACATATAAAGTTTAAAAAAAAGAGCCCGCCGTAGAACATGTCATTTGACTCACGTTTGAAAGAGCCTGTGTGTGTGCCTACAAACAATTCATGTTTGGCTGTATAATTGGCATGCTTTAAGTTTGCTGTAGTCCACTTCATTTTGTTAAATTGCCCCTTAACAATAAAACAGTCAAAACAAATGCTACACGTGCAGCGCCAAATGTGTGTAAGCGAGACAGCCCTATAAGCTGTCTATCGATTAAAACGATTATTCACCAACACTGAATATAAATCGTATAGCACATATCAGCGGTGGGTATATCTATCGCCTGCTCACGTAGCGACATTTTATTTTAAAGAATAACACGCTCATGGTTTATGAATTTTTACATAATTCATAGAAACTATGGCGCTGACAAAAGTGTACGATGCGGCCACGGTGCTTAAGAACCTCAATGGCATTATCAATGTCTACAAGCCGTCTGGCTTGAAAGTTAAGCATGTGCGCAATGCCATTCTAAGCAACATATGCAAAGGTGCGTTAAAAGCAGAATTGAGATATGAAATAAATAAAGTAATGCTACTTATGTGGTAGGACTCAATGAGCTGGAACAACGGGAGCCACGTGAACTGCCGAATAACATGCGACTGCTGTGCGCTGGCGCTGCCACAGACACTGTACTGCATAAGATAGCCGCCAACACAGATCTCTCGGACCACATATTGGCCAGTGGGCCACGCTACTTGCCAAGTGATATTCGCTGCGCAGCTGTTGGTACACTGGGTTATCACACAAGCGGCGTACTGTGTATGTAATGTATTACTGTATTCCACAGCAGTTATTTGCATATCGTTTTGTTTAGTGTTTGGGCTAAACAAAGGACTGCAACAGTCCAGTCTAATACAACGGAATCGCCCAGTGCGCGTTTACCATGTAACCGCTCGAATGGGCACAGCCACAGAGAATCACCTGCCAGACTCACGTGTGACAGTGCGCGCTAATCACCGGCACTTGACACCGGATCGCATTAGCGGATTGGCCGCCTCGATGCAGGCTTCCCATCAGCGGAAAATGTACGAGCTCTGCGGCGTAGACTTGCAGACGCAGGCGGCCTACGAGCTGGCCTGCAAGGGACTACTGCGACCCGCCGACAATAACCAGCCCGTCGTCTATGGCATCAAGCTCATACACTTTGAACGACCTCACTTCACGCTCGAGCTGCACACGATCAACGAAAACGAACAGTACATGGCAGCCCTGATCCACGACATGGCTATCGAACTACGCACTGTAGCTCACTGCTCACAGATTCGTTGCATACGTCACGCCCACTTTGATGTGTCGGAGAGTCTACTGCGCCATGGCTGGCACCTGCCGGGCATCATGAAGAATCTGCGAATGCAGCAAAGTGTGCTCGAAGCGCATCCGCAGCTACTGGACCAGCAGCGTGTGGATCTACATGCTGCTCAACAATAGCTATTTATAAATAATTAAAATGTAATTATAAGTTTTGTATATAAATGTTTAATTTCATTTGTTAAATTTCAGTGTGGCTGTCAATTTGTAATGCTCCGCAAAGTGCTGCTGCAATTTATCGTTCAGCTTCTTTCCGGCCACAGAGTCCAGCACCTTCTCCACCACGTCTTGCGCCTCCTTCAGACGCAGTTCAGCTTGCTCCAGCAGAGCTGCTGCTTCAGTATGCTGTCTGCGTGCTCGCTCCTCCAGCGTATGAGTCATCTCGATGAGAATGGTGCTGACGTAGATGGCAAGCTTGATGCTGTGGGGATCGAGCAAGTGGCACACGTTGTATAGCTCATTGCACAGGCGTTGCTTTCGGCCCAACTGCAGATCGCTCAGTGTAGCCAACTCCAGCCCTGCCTCATGACCGTACAGCTGGACGAGAGTGTGCTTCAGATTAAACATGTGAAAGTGATTGGTGTGCAGCAGCTGGGAGAGTCGAGCCAACAGTAGCTCCACGTGGCTGGCTGTGGGTCGTCCAGCCAACAGGGACTCCACTTGCTCGGTCATGTGTGTCTGCACTTCAGTCACGTAGGCAGCGTCCACAACCATGGGACAAGTGTCGCACTTCCACTGAGTCTTCTCATCAAGTGGGTCGACCGGCAGCTGGACGCCTACGCACGACTTGGACACATCACCCAAGCAACGCATGGCACTCACATAACTGCCGTTCTCGGTCGGATCCTCACAGCGTGCACAGCGGCAGCTGAAGTGCTTAGTCATGAGTAGATGATGCTGTCGCATTTGCGTACCCCACAATATGTTGGTGTATGTGATCTTCAAATGGTCTCCCTTCTTCAAGCCGCAGCCCGCACGCACTGCAATCCGTTGTGTGGCAGCATCGAACTGGAAGTAACAATTCGGCTGGCAGGCGTGCTCCATCATGCAGGCTTGCCGGAAGAGACCGCTCAGCTCTATTCCCGTGGACAGCTCGATGACCATATAGTTGGTCTCTATGATGCCGCACAGGCGATGCAGCAGCTGTGGCTCGTAGTCGCTGGGCATGCTGTCTCGTTGTTTACTCTGCTTGATGCGCTGCAGGAAACGCTGCTGTAGGTAGCCGACAATTCGCTGCTCCGCTTCCTGGTGCAGTTCGGTGCCCAGGCGCTCCTCTTCATGCGACTGCATTTCCAACAGCGCCCGCCAGCGATCCGGATGTTGCTGCTGCAACAGCAGGCACTTGAGCACCAGCAACGCATCGTGTCGGTAGTAGTCAACGAGAGCACGTACATCCGTCTTGGTTCTAGGTGCGCTTCCCAGACTGAGAACACTGCACTCCAGTTTCTCGTGCTCGCAGCCGATGCTGCATACGGGCCAGCGACAACTGTTGGATATCGAAGATTAAGGAGTACTACTATTAACGCATTAGAGTTTTAGTTATGGTTGGTTTATGGTGTATCAAGACAAGATACTGATGATTATGCTAATCATTGCCGGCAGATGAACTATTATATTGGAATTATTTTCGAAGGTCGTAGAAATACCTTCAACAAATGCATGCTTTGACCTACGCTTTTGAGGATTCCCTTCAACTGTTGATTTTTGTTCCACGGTTTTTGACACTCACTTGCGACAATGATGTTTGTCCACGCGGCAGGGCGTGTAGCAGCCTACACAGGGGACGATGCTGGACGATTTCTCTTCGTCGGTGAGAAACCACTTAGGACCCACGACAAGGGGATCCTCGACAAATATGATCTGCTTGGCCATAACGTTGTGTGTAGCTACCAAGTAGCGGCCCAGTTGGGCATCCTGCTGCTCCCGGAATGGCCGGCAGCAGCTCTTGTGCTGCGGCCAATCCTGCTTCTGGTGCTCCCCATTGCAATAGCGTACGACCTTGCAGCGTGTGCAGGTGAGCCGGGCGGCCACATGGCAAACGGCACAGTTAGTTTTCGTGAACGTCATTCCAATTGTCACTCTACGACTCTCTAAAACGCAATGATCTTATGTGAGCGGACAACATTTGATTCGTTTCGGGCTTCCACTGTTTTAGCACTTTTCTTCAAACATTTGCCTCTGCTCGCTCAAAATCTATTCAGCGTGCTCTGCGACGCGTTCAGGAATGCTGTGAAAATCTCTTCAAAGTGAGAGTATACATACATATATAATAGTATGCACACTATATATATAGATATATATATGTCGAAGCACTAGTATTCTTGTTGAAGCACTAGTATTCTCTTGCT